CCCTATTGTTACTTTACAATTTACCTCTCCCCCAATTTTTATACCTTTTTCTGAAAATTCCTGGGTTCATTGCGCAAATTCGTATGTGTGTACCAAATGCCATCAAAGTCGGGCTGGGAGCTACAGATCCGCCAACCAAACTAACATTGCTTTTGTTAGAGGAATACTACCGTTTGGAATGCTCACCGGTTCTCCTCAGTTTTCTAAAAGACAGTGAAGTTTTTGAAAGGATGCCTGCAATCGTCTTCAAAAAGATGGCCCTAGTTAAGCCAGCTGAGAAGGGGCTGCACCAGACTTGTGCTGAAATGGTAGGATACTTTCACTGTGATGGATTGATGATGCGCAAACATTCCTATGAATTTGATTCCGCAAGATATTCTGATAAATGTGCTCACCTGCCTCTCACGCGCGCTCAAAAAGGGTGCGTTTTTGACCCTATGTTGCAAAAAAGTCTCCGTAAAAAACTGCCCACTTGGGCTGATAAGTTCTAATTTTTCTGTCGTGCAATGCAGACCCTACGCTAACCAGCTGTATACTTACTTTGTCCAGGCCTTACTTTTTAGCAAGTAAGAGGGATGATTTATCAGAGGATGTCAAAACCGACCTGCCTCTCCTTTTTAACTCAAAAAATTCCGAGCTTGGATCGTGCAAGGTTGCCACTCAAACTGTTAGATGAGGGGATCCTAGTAAGTCATTTTATGATTAAACTAATTCCGCTCCCCGGGTTTTGAACTGAAATATTGCTGGTCCAAAACTCTTGGTGAAAAAACGACATTAAGATATCCGGTACCTAATAATTATATACCGGCGTTTTCAGAGCAACGGAAGTTAGCTCCGCTGGCATTACGACTATATGATCTGTTCAAACGATATGGAGTCAGCCTACAAGATGACGAGAAATTGCGCCTATGGGGACTGATAGGAGAACACGAACTACTGGCAAAGTTGGTTTCCCTTCTCACAGAGTCAACATAAACTGTCATATTTTTCATAACGTTATCAGTTCAAGGAAGTTTACTATGTTAGCTTTAAAATGAAGCACCAACCTAAAAGCACATACGCATGTTAGGTGTTCCTTATGGGCCACTATAGTTGGTGTATGACAATTACAGAAGTATCTCGAAGGGGGGGGGGGAGTGAAAAAACGTACTTTTTACGAATAACTGGTTTTATGCTAAACACCTGAACAAAGCGTTCCAAATGAATCCTACAGTCGTTTCGACATGTCCCGAGATCGCTCCTCTGGCCATTGCTTTTCTTAAATGCTTACGTGATTTCTACATTCTGGCAGAAGATTAGTGTTCTAATTTTTGTGCACCACTGCAGCAGTTGTAATTACCTTGCGTGTACTTCAGACGTTGGATCTACGAACCCGAAGGCTTCCTGAAAATCAGTGCCGACGACGAATTGGTTCGCAATACGGACATTTGGCAGATCCAACAAGTCCTGAAGAATGAAGTCTCCACCCTTCAGTGCGCCACTTAGTAATATGAAGGGCTCAGTGCGATCTCAGAACAGTTTACTTCATCCTGTATCACCTGAACTCTTGATAACTATTCTGCAAAAAGTTGTTGTATTTTTCACTGCTTCAGCGTACTGTTTTTTGACTCAAGATGTCTGTGCCATTAAAAAGGTGATACCGCAAGGCCTTGACCACGGCAGTGAGATTTCATTCGTTGTTTTGTAATAGATATAATCTTTTATTATGATTCCTCCTAAATTACACGGGTATTTTAGGCTTTCCAATTGTCCAGGATCAGTTAAATTAGATATATAGTTGAATTAGTTGTGAAATAGGTTGCTAGTGCTATTAAACGTTGCTGTTACTGTCGTTGATTGTTATTCGATAGCGATAGATCGTGCAGACTTGTAGATTTCAGAGTAGAATTTCCTCCTCTATGATAGTTATTATTTCTCCCTAAGGCAGGGTTCTGATGAAAATCGACCCTGTTTTTGCTTTCTTGGTGATTTGGGCACTCTCATTGTGCAGAAGCTTCAAAAATTTTGGAGAAGCTCATGCTCGCTCAATACTGAATGATGAGCTTTAACTTTGTCCAACATCCCGATGATGAGCTTCAATTCAAAGTTGGTAGCATCGAATGAATGCGAAAAACGCCAGTCTGACTGAGGTGAGCAGGAATTACAGGAGAATCTAAAGGATCAATCTAGCAGAATCCATACGGAGCTAAAGTTCAATTTGTGCGAGCTTTTTCTCGAGCCATCCGTTTCATGATTGGTGGAACGCTTGCTACGATCTAGATTTTGATAGGCTATGATGATGTCCAATGTATGCAGCTGCTGTCTGGAGCTAGCTTGCTTACTACCTTCGCAAGGTACCGACAGGAGGCACTGATCGCGCGGCAGGCACTAGAGTCAGCGAACGAGCGCGCTAGACTCGCCGCTACCCGCCTTTCTTGCCCGAAGCAACGGGCCTCTATGCGTACGCCCTTACGCGCATTCTCAGCGACGGTAAAATGGCAACTGGGTAACCCAACCATAACCTGAAAACGACTGCAGAAAGTCCCCACTTCGCTGCCGCTAAAGACTTGCATGTCATCGAAGGTGATTGTTGAGTCCGTACCAGGGTCAACCGTCACGTTGGACCGATTTCAAAAATTTTACGACCCCCTCCCCCTTCTAGAGGGCCTCGATACGACCCCCCCCCTCAGGGTCAACCCTTCACCACCCTCGCCTGCCATCGCCATCATGGGGCTCATTCTATAGTATTCGATTCTGAGACCAGTCGACACAGCCCAAACTCCGCCCACTTTTTTCCTCCAAAATTGCCGTCGAGCGGGGAATTATAATACCACGCTGAAAACGCAAGATTTTTAGCGCGCCAAAAAACTGCATCATCACTTCCCCTTACTGCAACATTACGACATTAACGCTACCTCGCGAAACACGACTCCCCCGTTTTTCTCCACCCCCATACGACTTCCCACCCCTCGTTGGACTTTGTCCAACGGACGGTTGACCCTGGTCGGTACTCTCTGTGAGCTGTTCCTCCGAGCTCACCAGTATGAGTAGCAAATGAAGGCCAAAGGAAGGCAAAATGAAAGAATCAGAAAGCCGTCAAACAGGGCATTATGAGCGAACGAACTAGGCTTAGGCGCCATTTGATGTGTACCGTACGTATTTTGATTTTCGCGACGACAAGTTTCCATGTATTACTGTGTTTCCAGTTTCTTGCGAAAGTTTTGAGCAACTTTTGGCAGGGGCTTTTATTCCTACATTAGACTTCTATGAAAGCACTTTTGTGCTTTAGCGTCAACTGTTTCTTTTTTGCTCATTTGGTTGTGCTTCGTCTGATCTCGCTCTGAGCCATATCTTTCGTTCACTTGCTGGTGTCACATATTTTTGGCAGTTACATATCTGTCGCAGCGTTATCAGGTGTGTTGGGTAAAAGGGTCCTTTCAATATCTCCGCACCTCCATTTGCGGTCATTGTTTGCATCACCAGACAATGATAAGATATTCCAGAAGGCCATTTCATATTAGGTGATTTTCTACTGTTTTTTTTTTCTTTCATTTTGAGAACATGGTGCCCTCTAAAAATGTACAGCATCAAAATAAATCCTTACAGGTTTTTACGGCATCAACACCTCTATCGGTCATCTAGGGAAGAACATGGTCATGGCTCATCCTTGCTATTCGACCATAGTTACGAAGAGCAGTGCCCCGCAGTAGAGTACGTTTGTCTACGAATTACGGTTAAAGTTCTATTCAGATCTTTGAGCTCATTGTGCTCTGCAGTTACGTGCTCACGTATTTTCCTTGCTGGGCACTTGACTATTAATACTGTCTATTCCTTAAAGGACAGCGATTACGATAAAGAGGAAGCGCATCGGGAAAGTATGTGCGCCGCATGAAGCAGTTATTTGGCTACGAAGAGCGAGGTGTGGTGCTTTCATGACGAATAGATGCGCCGTCGCTGCGTTGGTTAGACCGACGTCATAGTCGGCGACGGACCAAGCGATGGAGCGATCGCGATCGCTCCATCGCTTGTCCGTCGCTTGCCAATCGCTCTCGGTCGAGCGATTGGCAAGCGATTGCGCAATGTGCATGTGCACAAGCGACGGGCGATTGGCCCCGCCCCCAGCCAATGCAGTCGGCTGCGGTATCGATCGAGCAGAGCCATTGCCCGTCGCTTGTGCACTTTGCAAGCGATTGCGCAATCGCTTGCCAATCGCTCGACCGAGAGCGATTGGCAAGCGACGGACAAGCGATGGAGCGATCGCGATCGCTCCATCGCTTGGTCCGTCGCCGACTATGACGTCGGTCTAAAGCTGAGAAACCTCCGCCCCCAAAAGCGATCCGCCCACTAGTTTAGTTGGTGATTTGGACGAGCTGCGTTGCCAGCAGCGGCACAACTGGAGCAACTCGATTGGTAGCATGGTTTGGCATGGTGCCACCAAACGCCTTGCGGTGAACTCGTTCATACGTCCGACTTCTGAGCTGTACCTGTTCATGAGTGAAGACAATGGCCGAAAAAAGAGGGCTCCCGTTTTGCGTTTTCTTGACGGATTTCTCTGCTTTTTTCGCCACTAGCATACCACTGAGCAACACCGTTTTCTCTGAACCTTCCTACAAATTACTCGTAATCGCTGCCGTTAAGTATCTATGAGAGCAATCAGCATTAGTTCATGTTGCACATTCGAGGGTGATTCTTAAGGTTTTATTTCTGAGAATAGAAGTAGTTGTGGGCGGTGTATTGTGTTGTATCGAAGATCATCGCGATCCATGAAATGAGGCACATTAAGTGAGCGTTTGAAACGGGAACCCAACATAACGAAAGTTGGAATTATCAGAGTTCGGAGGTTGGGGTGTATTTTTAATAGTAAATTGGGTTCGTTCTTTTTCCTTCCGCTCTGCGATGAATCAGGACCTAGTATTGGGATTGGAGAGTTGTGGATCTTATTTCAATAGTATTTTGGTTGTGTAACATAATGTTCTTAGTTCAGCGATCACTGGTTTTTGAACCAGACGCCTAGCGAGAATATGCATTTCAATAACGTACCTCAGCAAGTAATTCGTGAACTGTAAGTGGACTCGTACTGTTTCTGTTCCCTTGTTTTCTGATTAATGTTTTGTTTAGGAGGTCTTTCGACGACTTCGGGTTACTTTCTGCTCAGATCATGAAGACCGATTTTACACAAACACAATCTAGTGCCGCACCTTTCATGGATAAGCTGTTAAGGTTTCTTTCCCGTCCTTTGTAGAATTACACGTTCTCGTTATTTTGGGGTTATTGAATTTGTCGGAGCGTTAGCATCCTGATACAAGGAGTTTCAATCAACTAGTAGTAGGAGCGGATGAAAGTCTTGAATGCTTGCGTGGCTGTATGTGGAAGGATGTTTTTGCAGTTATGAAGTTCCATCTATAAGCAATTCTGCTGCTATTCCCACAACTGCGGATCCGTCGGAGCTGGGTGGATCATCCGAAAATAGTGATATTGAACAACTAGAAGAACTAATTGATCAAGGGTACGACGTCTCTGCTGTGCTACGTGACTTGTCATCAGTTGAAGTACAAGGGTACTATTTCACGTGATTTTACTAGGCATTGCGTCCTTTCGCATCACATTCATTTCCAGAGAGATCTGCGCAGTAGCGCCTGATACGGTTACGAAACCAGTGGTGAAAGGGAAAATCGAACCAACAGATTGAACAACTCAAGAGCCCTTCTTTAATAGAAAAAACAGTTAGTAGCGACTCAGTTCACCATGAAGGTAAGGTCTCATTCCACAGGAGTATTTCCTAGATATAAAACTACTGCTTTAGATGCTCTTCCCTCTTCCTCGGAACACTTCAAAACCCATCGTTTCGACCCTGATGTTCACCGTGAATTTAGAGCATCTGCCGATGAGATTATTGCCGCCGTTCATAATCAGGTGTTCTTCAATTTCCATGAACAGAAATTTGAATGGTTAAAGAGAGATTTATTGTTATTATTATTGTACTAAATTATTGAAGCATTCGGATTTTAGGATCTGGCATCTCTACGATCCATCTTAACAGAGAGAAAATGGCCGGACCACCGCAGCATTGGCGCCTATTTGGATCAACTTTTTGAGCTTGTTATACGTGACAGTTATGACACCGACGAAGCTGTCATGTTCCTCCAGGACTTGTGCGTAAATGCTTTGTTAATAGAGCACCGTCATTACATTTCATTTTTTTTTCGCGTTTTTGTAGTGCCTCTGTTCTCATGAGAAAATGGTGATACTTTTTGGTCACTGAGCCCCCCCCCCCTCCCCAATTTGCCACACAGTTACTGTGTTTGGAGTTTTCCGCTCCCAAGTTTTATGTTCCTTTTTTGAATTTTTGCTTATTTTCTATTATCTTCACTCATTCGTGACACCGTTTTCAGTGCTGTGTGTAATCGCCGGGGTTTCCTCCACGATGTGAACGGTGTCCGACTAGCTTTGCGTGTTGCTCGTGATAGTGGATCGGTGGAGTCGGCCTCAGAGATGTTGCGGGTCTTTCGCAACATGTTCCTTGTCAAGTCGCGTGAGTTATCTCAGCATTGTGGACTGTGCGTCTGTTAGTGGTTGAATTTGTCTACCATATTTTTTATTCAAGCTGTGAATTCAAAGTCGTCTCCCTCAACGCTGGTTTTGGAGGAATTCTACTCAACGTTATGCCATATCGGTTAGCACATAATTCCTTTGTCATTCTTCTCACCCTGTACGTTTTAGAACTTTTCTGTTCAGGTTCCCCAGAGCAAGTGGAAAACGTTCATAAGATCATGGT